ACCGTGTATGGACTTTGACAAAGAAAAATGTCCATATGATGTTCTCTGTAGAACAATGTATTTTGAAGCATCAAAATATTGTGAAACATAATTAATTACATATTTTGAACAAAGAAACAAGAACATAAAAAGGAATTGTACGATAGCTTACCTGCTTTGAGTTTCTTGCCCAAATTAAAGACTTGTTTTGCAGTTTTAGCTGTTTCTCTGTAGTTAATGATACATCATAGAGGCCAACTGTGACAAACTCCACAGTACCATTTTCTCTTGTCTGCCAGTTTATAATGTCATACTTTGCTGCTGGATCTCCATTCTCGTTAAAGTGAACCTCATCTCCTTCCTTTGTTGTGAAATGGATCTTCTGTATGTGTTGCAGAACCTAAGAAGTATGTCATAACTCAATTCATTGCATGACAAAGATTGTACATACCGACTGGTTAAAATATATATATAAGAATTCATTTTTTTAGATAACATTTTTCTTAACAACTTAATGTGAAAAATGTATTTTAAGCTACTAAAAAGCTCACCATGAAGGGATCTAGCTGCACAGTTTTGTTACATGTTTTATTACAACTGAGGATATTGTGAAGTGCATGGGCCACTGCATACACTCCTTTGTAGACATTGTTAAAGAGAGGCATGAGAGACATGTCAATGAAGCTACTTTGAACTCCAGTCATATCTTCATGTCCGGTACACTCTCTCTGAATGTCTGCTGATGACTTCAACTCCTTGAACTTACAACTAAATAGTGTCTCCCAGACCTCAGTGAACAGTTCATTATTTGATGATTTCAATGGCTTCTCATCCAGTATGAACTCTCTCAGGCCAGTAATATGTGCTTTAGGAATGGAAAGACCAATGGAACCATTCAGTATGTGATGTATGTCCATTTCTGCTGTTTGTGAATCAAATATCCAAGACTCACTGCCTATCCACTGATAACCAGACAAGTTATGGTATGAAAACTCAGGTAGCAGGACATTCAAATCTGCACGGGAAAGGAATGCAACAATCACCCTGGAGGTTGAAGCCTTTATTATGTCAAGTATCCTTTGTATTTTGGCATATGGATCTGTTCTAAAAAAAGATACAGAATACTCCAGACAGATGCCCAGCTGCTGTGCAGTTTCTGTGAATGTGGCCATGCCATTATTTCCATAATCATTATTGGATCTGATAGCTCCAACCCAAGTCCACCTAAAGTACTTGACCAAATGGGCCAGGGCTCTGCTCTGGTAGTAGTCACTGGGTATTGTTCTGAGGAAGGATGGGTACTTGGTTTTGTCACTAAGACAAGCACATGTAGCAAAGTGACTGATCTAGAATTAAAAATGAAAACTTATAAATGAAAAAGACAAAGAATGAAAAAGATGAAAGTGTTAAAAATAAAACATTTAAATTTAATGGAAAAAATATAGTAAAAATATTAAAATTACAGTTCTACTCAATACTTATACTGAGTACATAAAATGTACCAGGCAAAATGATTGATCTAAAAAAAATTTTTTTTAAAAAAAGTATTCAAGGATGATAAAATAGGTTCTATATATGAAATACCAACCACGGGTACAAAAAAAGGTCCAATAACAGTAGCTACTGCTATGGTTGGAGAAGAAGAGGTCTCTCCTATTATGGCCTGCACATATGCAGGTTTTGTACATGAGGTCTTGGATGGTACAGACACATTTTCATTACCATTAGCCAAAGCTAGTGTAACTCCTACACTTCTGGCAACAGATCCACAAGTATCATAGATTTTATAGCCCACAGAGATTCCTGGCAGTAGGTCTGTACTGTTATTAATCTCCTCAATGGCAAAAAGCATAGCCTGGGCAAACTGCAAATCTCTGAAATTTAAACTTAATAGAGACAATTATGATTCATTTGCATTGCATTGTGTTCCTTAAAACAGACACAAATAATCTGGATAAATCTCAAAATACAAAACAAAAATATTTCAAATTAAAACATTTAATGAAAGGAATTTAAATAACTAAAACAAATGAAAATACCTTTTTGTCTGTAATGATTCCCAAAAGATTCTTTAAATGCAAATTGATTTGTAATGTGTCATTTACCTGGTACATTGTAGTGGCACAGGTTGGTTCATGTAGGAATCCTTTCTGTCTTTCCAGCTTGTGTGAAAAGAGAACATCCCCCCCAGTATAATATGCCCATTCTTAGATAGCAGTGGGTTCTCAGGATCTCCTCTCTGTCTGCACACTGGCTCCTCAGCATGAGAGACAGATGCCACCAACAACAGTTGTAGAAATGCCCATCCCTGCTCTGGCCATTTCATTGTTGGTGTCATTTCTTGAGCTAAACCACTTAGTAGCATTAAAAGTACTATAATGAAGATGAAATACTTAAGCTGGTATTTATACCTTTTGGTGCAGCATAAGACATAATTGAAAAGTGGCAGTATATTCACAGTAGATGTACAGGTCTGGCAAAAGGAGAATCATGCCCAAATTTGCATTTAAATGTAAGTTTATGTATGTAAAACAAGGACATACACATCACACAGGGCTTAAATAAGAAGTAACAGTGCAAAAAACAATTTATTAGAAATAAATATGCATTAAAATGTATTCAAATGTTAAACATGCAGTATCATTTTCCAAAGTGGTAACAAAGGTCATAAAATTACTTTCTTAGAAAGCACCTGCTTAATAAGGAAAGAACTGGATGCACTGGAATCTTTACTTTTTTATACATTACTCTTATACACTCTTCTTAGAGCTTTATACAACAAGTTACAGTAATCCATTAACTTCCACTTTCACATCTGTGATGCATAGATGTGACATTAAGATCTGTCAACAGTCTGATATTAAATTAAAGATGACATGAAATGCTAAGGGAAATTTACAGCAGGGAGGATTTGACATTTGAAGTGTAGTTTAGGAAATAAGTGTTTTAAGTTTTTACAACAGGTGTAGCGCCATCTTGTGCCCGTACAGAACTTGATGTCACTAGGTTGGTTGTTTTTTAATTGTTAAATAGATTCCCACTGAAATAAGGTAATCCACCTGTGGGCCATAATGCTTGGGATTGTAGATCACTTTGCAAATGACAGTTAGGTGGATAAGTGTGTGTTTAAGTCAGTTGCATCGGTGGTTCACCAGACCCACAAGCTGAAGTTGACACTGTCCCCTCTGTGTTTGACTTTTCCTCGTCAGGCCGCGTGGAAAGACCAAGCAGCACAATCAGCTGGCAGTGCAGATGTGCGATGTGTACTCAAGCACATCAAATCAATTTACAACCAGTTTGCAATCAGTGCTGGGGTCATTACTCAAAAACAGTAATGTATTATACATTACGTGTTACTTTTGAGTAGCACAGTATGTTACTTACTCCTATGATAAAGCCATTTGTTACACTACTTGATACTTTCTGCTTACTCTGTAAAATGACCAGTTATTCTTTTTATATGATGAGCAGCATTTTATTCGCATAAAATATTGTTGGTCGCATCTTACAGACATCTGCTCTGCCAGCTTGGTCTGTATACTGATCTAGTGAGGAAAAATCTAATCTGACTTTAGCCTGTTGGTCCGGTGAACCACTGGTGCACCCACGCAAACAGGCTCTCCTCCACAAAGTCTTCATTTATAATTGACTCTTCAAAACTATGCATTATGGCTAACAAGTGGATTTCATTTCAGTTCAGTTAGCCAACAATAAATAAATAATTAAAATCACTCGTTGCTTATTAGACAGAAGTTGAAAATGAACTGCATATCCTCGTGTTTTTGTTCTTAAAATTAAATCTATTGCTGCTACTAGGGGCAGTATGACAGCTTTTTAGAGTTTAATGTCCACCTTAATTAGCTAGAATTTGTCTCCCAATCTACTTGGGAGACAGATTCTGTTGCCAGCAGAAAGGCAACAGTAAATGATTAGCAGTTTAGAGGTATTTTAGACATTTTACACCAGCAGAATTTTTTTGTATATTTACTGTTTTTGTATTTACTCTAATATCTCATCGTATAGAGTACCATATATTATACAGTGGAACCCTGACTTACGAAATTAATTCGTTCCTGAGGGTCTTTCGTAAGTCGAAAATTTTCATAAGTCGAAGCACCCATTGCGCCTTTTGAGTGAACGATAGGCTATAGGCTAATTGATAACTGCAGGCATTCTGGGCTCAGCCAATCAGAGCCAGCGGATTTCGTTACGCGGGCATTTTGCCGTAACACGGGCAGAAATATTGCCGTTAAGTGCCTTCGTAACTTGAATTTTTCGTTAAATGGGGTATTCGTAAGTTGGGGTTCCACTGTACAAGTAATCTGCAATAAATTACAGGTAGTAATAAAATAAACTACTAACTCTTTTACGCTGTGTCCACACCTACATGGGTATTTTTGAAAACGCAGCTATTTCTATGCGTTTGGGACTGTATTTTGTTCTGATCTTATATCAAGGAAGAGCTTAACTGTTATTGCTATTATCATTAAATTAAGAGAAAAAAGTTAAACTTTTCTGATTTCATTAGCCATGTATCTATGTGTAGCTGCTCTTTGAGAATCATGCCTAAAACGCATACATGGACAAAGCAAAGCAACTACTGTAATCAAGATTGTGCTGCACACTAAAATTCAACAGTGGTTGGAGGCCTCTTGATATGGAGAATGAACAGGTTACAGAATAATACATACTCTTACTAATTTTATCTGCAGTGGCATGTCATTCAAATAACAAATTTCCAGAGTTTGACAGAACAAAATAAAAGCACGTCATGATGAATGTGTGAATGACTCAATAACCTTTAGCTATCAGTCACTTGGTATGTTTTTTTTTTGTTTGAGTAAATTACAAAGTAAGTAATGAAAATGCATCAGAAAGAAGAAGCAGTTTCTACAAAGCCAGTATCAATGGACTATATCCTGCTGGCAGCTTATTTATATTCTGAAAGGATGATGACCCAATTATGTAAAAATAATAATAACATTAAAATTCCATTTTACTGCATTCAGTTTTGAAAGTGACTATGGTGCCTTCTTCCCCATAATATGTTTTTTTGTATTATTTTCTGGTTTCAGTAAGATGATATAACATTTGGGTATGAAGATGCAAATTAGCAGTCCAAAACTGGAAGCAAGTATAGCAAATATTTCTACAGCAACACTGAACTTTCCAGGAGAGCTAACATATGCTGGGATAAATGTAATCCATACTGCACAGAATATCAGCATGCTGAAAGTGATAAACTTGGCTTCATTGAAATTATCGGGTAGTTTTCGAGCTAAAAATGCAAAAATAAAACATAAAATAGCCAGAAGTCCTATATAACCAAGCACAGCCCAAAAGCCCACAACTGAGCCGAGGGCACACTCCAGAGTGATCTTGTCTTTGATTTCCTTAAAATTCTTAAATGGAAAAGGAGGAGAAGTTGTTAACCAGATGATACAAATGTTAACTTGTATAAGAGTGAATGCTGTAACACAGAGTCTCTGCTGTGTCTGCCCAAACCATTTTTTAACATTACTACCTGGACGTGTAGCTCTGAAGGCCATTAAAACAACTATTGTTTTTCCCAGAAGACAAGAGATACAGAGGACAAAGGTGATGCCAAATGCTACATGTCGGAGCATACAGGACCAATCAGAGGGCTGACCAATGAAGGTCAGAGAACACAGGAAGCACAGAATTAAGGAGAAGAGCAGCAGGAAGCTCAGTTCAGAGTTGTTTGCCCTGACAATAGGAGTTTTCCTGTACTTGAAGAAAATTTGTATCACACTAATTGTCATGCATGCTCCGAATAAAGATGCTGCAGTGAGCAGTGCTCCCATAATTTCTTCATATGACAGAAACACTGCTTCCTTCTTTATACAAGCATCTCTTCTTTCATTTGACCAAAACTCAGGTAGACATCTCACACAGGTGACAGAATCTGGAAATTAATATTGAAGCAGATGTTACACTTAATGAATACAATTTTTTATGCCTCTGCTATGATATATTCTACTGGTGTTGAATTAGAAGTGCATAAACAACATTATTATTGAATGGCTGCCACACTGTTTTGTGATCAAATGACGATTTAAAGATATAACTTCTAGAGCATTCATCAGAGTTTATGAATGTGGTATACTTGTCCTTTGCATTTTAGAAGCAATGTGCAAATAATTCTAAATATTTAGTAGCAAGCACAAAGGCAGAAAGATACACAATTTTACATAGGCCAAATATACATCCTGTTACAACAGTGGTTCCCAAAGTTTTTTTTGCTAGGCACCCCTTTGTTTTACAAGAAAAATTTGCCCCCCCCCCCACCTAAACCCCATCCCCCAGCACAAATAGATCCTCTAACCACACACACCCATATTTTTTGTTTTCAAACTCAATTGCAGTTTATTTCACACCTCAAACATTTAGTAAACAAACAAATACATTAAACTGCAATAAATTATAGGTAGCAATAAAATGAACTATTAACTCTTTTACGCTACGTCCACACATACACGGATATTTTTGAAAACGCAGGTTTTTTATGCATTTATGCATGGAGCTTTTGTCCACAGGTAAACGGCGTTTCGGATCACCGCAAACTGAGATTTTTAAAAACTCCTGTCAGGTTGGAGATTTTCAAAAACTCAGTTTTCACGCAACATCAAAGGTATTTGCCTTTTTTGACATCACGCTGTGCGCCACGTTCTTGTTTACATGAGATGAATTTCTACAATGGCGAATAAAGACAAAATACTGTTAATCTTACTATCTGCAGTTGTTACATGCTTACATATACACACACAGTTACTGTCCCTCCATTTAGAAAGGCAGAGGTGTCAGAATGTAATTATTTTACGTGTAGTTGTTTTTCTTCCTGTGTAATAATATTCAACATAGCAGGTGAAGCCAAAGGTAAGATATGCTTCATCATATTTTCTAGTCTTTGGGTTGGGAAGTTGGTTTGGAAGCATATTTGGCGATGCTTCATCTTCTGCTTTGCGTTTCTGTGGGAGCCCTGTCAAAAACCTGTCCATTATGCTAGCAGTGTCCAAGCGTTCTTTTTTTTTAAAATTCATACCGCAATGACACTGCGGTATTTCTTAGGCATGTCCCCCACTTTGGGAACCTCTGTGTTACAAGATCAAACATGTCTCTCTCTTTCTAATAATACATAGTTTTCTATGGCAGCACTTTTTATTACAGCTCGGTCATTTGTAAGTCATTACCACTCAATTACTGGTGGTAGTTTCTGTGTAATAAGCAGAAACAGAACTACAAAATGCAAAACTGCCTTTCTGTTTAATAACATATTAGAAAGTCTTTAGAATCTTTTTCTTCAATTGATCTTTCTTAGTTAACTTCAGTAATTAATTCCTCCAAACCATCAACATGTCTTCCTGACTGCATTCATACAAGACTGCACAAAGAAGTCCTGCTATTAATTAATGTGTCAATCTTAAATATGATCAACCTATCTCTAATAATTTGCTATGTAGGCCTTCAAGCT